TAACATTAACATTTTACAATAATTTTATAGTAATGTAATAAAGTATTAATTTACAGAATTATTACATTTGTTTATTCGGGACTGAGAGTAAGGGAAGGAATGGACTCGTGAATATTACGTCTTCTTCTTCTCCTTGGCCCTTGATTTTGTGTTGTTAATTACTAGTTTATTAAGTGCATCAAGATTTGCTGACACTCCCATCTCAAGGCATAGTTTATAGTGCCAGTCGTATTTTATCAAGTTGATATTTTCCTGGCATGATGGGCAGATCTTTTTTAATTTCATTTGTGTTTTGCACATAAGACTGTGCACCTCAAGGTGGCATTTGGATATTAAATTTCCACATGATGAATGTGTTATTATTTCACGGTTTTTTGGCGAGTCTTTTTGGGAGTAATTCGCCCCATACATTTTGAGTCCTTTGAGGGCCCTTTCCGTCGATTCTTCGTTACAGTATGTAGCGAAGCTTAGGTATAACTGTCTTCCATCGTCGCGTTTGACATCTAATGGATAGTAATTTAAATGGCTCAAAGGGCCAAAGGTCATTAACTACCGTGTTTATTCATCCGGATTCATAATGGCTGGTACCTTAGATACTACTTTTCGTGGAAGTGAGTCATTGTCTTTTGGACCGTTATTTATTTTGATCGTGTTTTCTGTTTTTGGGTTTTTTGTGATTACATTTTTTGGCTGCTGAGTTATGCAATAACACTGCTATCTGGCGCATGTTTTCTGCCCACTCAGCGGATCCATACGTTATATGAACGGGAACAATATCTTCCCGTGTTTGTTTTTTTGGTGAAAAATGAATATCTTCTATTGGATATTTGTTTTCGAAAAATTCAATAATATAATTTGTGTTAATAGGTTTTTTTAAAATGACGCTTATTTTAGTCCCNCTCGTTGAGTATGACTCTGTAAAGAGTCTTAAAATTTTATCATTGGGAATGAAACATAACAGGATAAAATAGAATAAAAATAAAAATTTATTAATTTACGCAAGTCGTCACCTAACACAAGGTATAATAAAAAAGAAGAGGTTCCATGATTCGTGTTGTACAGATTGCTTGTAAATACGTAAGAATACGGAATATACAACTTACAGGATTTTCCAAACAAAAACGATATTCTGTATTTCACTTCGTACCTATGAGCATTACCGTACACAAAAACATTGAAACTATTTATGCTGATAATTGTCATATGGAAATGGATAAAAAGTTTGTATTGTACACTTTTCGATACGATAAAAAAATGAAGAATGTTATTGGTTTCGATCGGCCTTATTCAGTTGGACTCAGGCAAAGGGCTGCTAAATGAATAAGACTGCTTTGAAAGAATAATATGAAAATGGTAATAATAAATAATGTGCAATTGATAATGTAAAGTTTGCTGTAACATCGCAATATTGAAGGCTACGACAATCACTCACCGATTGGCCTCGAGCGCAATTCCGAAACAGCGCCACCAAACGAGGATCTTGAGAACGATTGGTCATCCACAGCATGGTATCAGTCTACCTATGTATACTAGACTATATATGTAGCCAAATAGATAGATATACTGATACCATGCTTTGGATGACCAATCGTTCTCAACATCCTCGTTTGGTGGCGCTGTTTCAGAATGGCGATCGAGGCCAATATCCTTTAACTTATGGGGTCAAGGTGTTTAAAAAAAAATTAGTAACGAAAGTATTGTAAATCTCTTCAGGGCAGTTGTGGATCTTTGTGACCGCTCTGGCCGGATGCACACAAGTAGTGAATCCTATTTGTATACGAGGAGCATACTGAACCCTTTAAAATATCTGTTGTAACGTATTAAAAAGCAAATAAGTTTTATTTTCTGTAAATTATGCAAATCAGTAATCTCTAGACATCTGCGCGGTATTTTGTGGCCGCGAAGAGACAAATAATATTTGCTGCTCGGGCAAAAATGTACAATAAGTGCGCCCTTCGGGTAGCGTAACTATGTAAAATAGGAGTATCAACGTTGTGCATGTGTAGAGACTGTTCGAAAAAAATCCTTTGTCATTCTAGCATGCCAACGTATACCTTACCGTAAATTGGGAAAAACACAAAAGTAGTGTTTATAAGTGTCAATAATAAATACTATCATGTCATTTATCGAAACATAGATAAATTAGACCACGTAAATCATGTAATGTTTATGAGGACGATTGCGGGACTAAACTACTAAAGTATGTGTAAAATAGCTATAGTGATGTTAAGTGTTTTAATATTTGAATCTTTTAAATACTAAGGTCATGATGTTAATAGTAACGGTTCAAAGTATAAAAGTTTAAAAGAACTTACAAACTTGATATTTTTTTGTAATGCAATACTAAAAAAATACTTATAGCTTGTTTATCTTTCAAGGAAGCTAACTTCTTTTCCAGTAATTGCTCAAACGATTTATTGTTTTCGACATCAAAAGATTGTGAACGTGTATGTTGGGTCTCATTATCTGTCACATCGGAAGCTGAGTATACAAGCGATGAAGGTGGACAGCGCGTTCTCGAATTACTTATTTTATCGTTTAATCCTTCCACAGTTTCTAAACATTATTTTATTTTCTTAGGTGATTTATTGAAGTGTGATGTAATTATTAATATGAGTAAATATTTACCAGACTCCTGAATAATGAGACCTTCCTTTATGCCAGTAAGAGTACTAATTTTGTACTTTTTTAGTCGATCAATTGGTGTAGTAAAATGATAAATTTTTTTTTCAGTAACGGTATGAAAGTTTCCGTCATTGAATTTTATGTAATAGTACATATTTTAGCAGACCTGCAAGAAATTTAAAACGACTAATAAATTAAATTAATGAAAGTTGGATTAGGGGAAGAAGTGAAACAGCTAAAAAAAATTTAACATGTTTTGAATCGCAAACCATAATACGGTTGTAAATAGCTTATTACGCAACGAGGGGAAAAGTAATCACGTAATCAGCTATATAATAGTACACGTACACTACACCGTCACTGGCAGTGTGAATCTGAAGATAGACTGCAATGTGTCAATGCAAGTACATACCTCGCCTTAGCACAGTATGTTTATATACGAGGATGTTACTACGCCGCCTCGTTCCTAATTAGTGTACGTGTGTCTGTGTGTGTATGTTTTGTCCACTACTCCTGTTCTGTACCTATATTGTATATATATACATATATATACATATATATATATATGTAGATATGTGCTTATTACTTATATTGGTGGTATGCTCTACTCTTTTTTATTATATTAATCTTGCGCATTACGTGGTCTGAGTATTTTTAATATTCATTAAATTATTAATAGCCTACTGTTTCCAAAAAAGAAAAAAAAATTTATACATGGCGGTTGGATTTCATAACACTGTAATATGACCTGAGTATAAGTAAGTGTACGTTGCATTATTAAACACGAGCATACTATTATGAGCAACATAAAGAAAATATTTAATTTTGAAGTGAGCCGCAGGAACGAACTACGCACTGCTAGAAACACGTATAGTATGCGTGTACCTGTAAGATGAACGAAATAACGGACGAAAAAGGTACTGCTCTGTACCTATCTCTGTCTCTATCTTACACATACACTTACATGTATAGTCATATACACGCCGTAAGAGGTGTAAACATAGGGTGCCAGTGGTACTATAGTGGCAATTGGCAAGTATACTATAAAACCTCATAAATATAAACAGGGATTGTACTATACATGCAAGTTAAAAAGATAATGCTTGTTAACTTGGATTAAGAAGAGATTTCAGAACTCAAATGATAATCTGGGTTACGATCGAACACCCTTCTGAACATTTGCTAACAACTCATAAAACAACAATCTTGATTTGTACCATACATCCACGTACACAAAATTATACCCTTAAACTTGGATTAAGAGAAAAAGCAATATATGTTAACTACGATATACTGTATACTATTACACGAATGTCTATAACATTATAATCATAAGGTGTACGTAAAATTGTTGTTATATTAATTAACTATACGCTCGTACTTTTATAGAATTCTTTGTAAAACTCGTCGTCAAAAAATGTGTAGTAAAAACTTATAGGGGTGTAGTATACGTTGACAAAAACTTACTTAAAAACAATAAGATGCCGACAACAACCCTCGGTGACAACTAATGATTATTAATACTTATGTGTTGGTCTCCAATGGCTCACTGAAGTTCACGTTATTTTATTATTCACGTATATTCACCTGTATCACCACACAGTTGATCGACTTTTATCGGGAATCAGAGGTTACGGACGAGAGCCGCAGGCATCGTGTATGCAACCTCACCCATCAAATACTTCTCCTCGACTGCCGGAACTGCCGCTGCTGCTGCTGTAGCTGCTGTACTGATATATAGCATAGAGCATAGCACGTGACCGTAATGGTAGACAATAGTTTACGTACTGATATGCCTAGTATAAGGTACTGTGATCTTTCGAAGTGCATGGACAAGTTATAAACAAAATAAATGATTTTGATTAGCTAAAGGCTTTTGGTTTATAACCAATTACGACGCAGCACGCCAAAACATCAATTCAATGAGTAATGATAACGGAAAGGTTGTATTCCAGTAAAACGACATTAACGAAGCTACCGATTGATAAATCAAGTTTTGTAATTGTATTTTTGACAAGAAATTCCAGCATTAAGTACATTCTAAAAACGTATTAATTTTTTATCGGAAATCCGTGTTGACGAACTTATATCATAGTGTGCATTTGCTCCCGGAAAAACACAAACAAAACCAATAAATTTCGTGGACTAGGTAATCCAAGAGAATTCAAAGGAATTACTAAACTGCCTGTATTCTTATTTAGTCAAGTTAACTTTAAATAAGTCAATACATACAGAAACCTGTAAAACATTTCTGAAAATTGACATTGCCACATATAACCTACTTAAGCAAAATTAGTTATCAACACTAAGTACAGTGTGATAAACCCTAAAAAATACATTACAAACATTAATAGGATTTTCAATATAAACATTTATTCAGTTGCGACACATTAAAAACAATAAAAAATTTAATGTTATTTCCGTATACAACCTTCCTAAATAAGTTTCTGGGAAGGGTAGCTTGTACTTTACATTAAAAAACTATTAAATAACTAAGATTATTGGATTTCCATATTGAACCTGATTAATTATTATATGAGTCATTTTTTTGGCTGATTAAATCTGATTTTATTTAATAGGAATCAATAAGGTTTAATCAGTCGCTCTCGACTGGGCATTTCGTGAATAATGTTTATCACCTTTGTTACCTAATTGATAATTAACATCTTACAAATGTACGTTTTATATTGTTTCGTGTCTTTTAACACATTTGTTATCAATAAATCTTGTAACTGATTTTACAACTACTTTTTGTTCACGGATTTTACTTATACTTTACATATACTTTTCATTCCAAGGAAAAATTTTACATTATTTAAAAGTGCGCCAAAGGAAAAAAATAATGTGAGAAAACTTAACAAACCGTAACTTTTTGTGATGTAATGTAAGGTTTGATTAGATGTTGTACCGCAGTTACTCAGTCAAAAATTTTTAGCTATTAATATGCCTATAATTTATAGTTATAATTATAGCTATAACTACCTATAAAACAGCTATAATAATGTATAAAATCCAGCTATAAATATAACTATAAACTACAGCTGTAAATTTTTCACAAATAATGAATAAAAATTAGTTTAACATCAGATTTTTTCAACATATATCGATCAGTACAGATGGTACCATCCGTATGATGACAGTAAAACTGGGGGCCTTAAGTATTTTTGAATAAGTAGAAAAAAAAAACAAGAAATAATATACAATTTCAAGTTTTTTAAAAATTGTTTAAAAATACTTTAGGCCCTCAGTTATACTGTTATCACGCGGATGATACCGTTTATACTGATCGATATATGTTGAAAAAATCTGATTTTAAACTAATTTTTATTCAAAATTTGTGAAAAGATTACAGCTGTAATTTATAGCTATTTTTATAGCTGAATTTTATACATTATTATATCTGTTTTATAAGTAGTTATGGCTACGATTATAGCTATAATTTATAGGTATAATTATAGCTACAAATTTTTAACTGAGTACAGTTTGTTACGTTTTGTTACTTTTAATTACAGTCGACTATAACTTAATATATTACCTTATGACTCGTAACGTTTACTATTACGATTCTAAAAAGGCACTCGAATCTCGTGAAAAAGCAACTGTAATAAACTCTATTATAACGTAAGGAAATGTTGTCATGTGTAATATTTTATAACGGCTTACAGTTTTTTGCAGTTTATTACACTGTTTTATATTTTGTTATAATTAATAACTTTTAGACCCATTTTCTTACGTTTTTTAATAAAAATTACTTTGAACGAGAAAAAGTTGAGTAGTTATTACGAAAAATTATTAGTGTAATAGTATGTGGTAACTTATATCAAAACGTAACGAAAATGTAAGAAAACGTAACACAACAATAAAATGTAAAAAAACGTCTAAATTCTATAAGAATAATATAGTTCCTTACATCTTTTTACGTTTTCTTACGGGTCACGGCGTATTATTACACATGTTTACTTTTTTTTCCATTTTGTTACGATTGTAAATTCCCGCTAGGGTCTAATGAATTTATTGTTATTATCACAACAACGTTTTGAATAACCTTTTCCTCATTAACACATTAATCTGGGTATCGAATATAGCAGGAAAGATAATATTTTTCACTTATTTATACAGTACTCAGATAAATTACATAAATTCTTATAACATAAATTTATACATAAAATAAAGTTTTTTTCAAAACTATTAGATTCAAACAATGATTAGGAAAATTTTTTCTCAACTCGAATTAGAGACTATAAAAAAGCATTATCTTACAAACATAACATCATCAAATGTTATTTAATATAGTTTCGTTTAATTTATTGTATATTTTGTAGTTTTAATAATAATGATTCTTTTTTCATCGTTTTGTTGAAGAAAGAAATTGTGAAATATGATGAAGTATCATGTAGGATTTACTTTGCATTCTTATTAATGCATATTGCATTGAAATAGCAAAACAAAAATGTTTTAAAAATATTCATGTGAAGTTTATCTAGTTTTATACTTTTGAAAACACAAAACTTATTTTTACAACAAAAAAACCGTCAACAAGTAATGTTTCTCGATCATTTATATTATTTAAAAATTGTGTAAGTTGTCTCACTTTAGTATGCTGACATGTAATGGGATTGAGATCTTGTTAATACTACTACACAAAGTAAATACATACATATTTATACACATATTTAACAATGTTAAGGGTACTATTTATTAAGATACAAGACTC